CTTGAGCCACATCCCCAGCCCCCTGGGTTCGATCCTTAGCACCACATAAAAGTAAACAAAGGCATGCTGTCCATATACAACTACAATTTTTTTTTTTTTAACAGAAGTCTGGCAGCTACACATACTGTTTTTTTCTGGAGTATCTCTGGGCCACAGCATGTCTCCTGCCATACCCAGCTTCTGTCAGTTGTGAGGAAACAATGGTGTAACTCATCCTTTCTTTGGAGAACGATGACAACACGCCAGGACTCAGCTTGGCAGGTGCTGGTCAACCCTAAGGAAGAGGGGCACTCAGTAGAAAGGCTAGGGATGTACCAAAGGCTGCATAGAAGGACCAGTGGTGRAAGCCAGGAGGGTCTTGCCTGGGAGTGGGAGCTGCTCTGGGGCAGAAGTGAGAGCAGACATACATAGGAGGGCTCCTTCCTATCTGGGCAAATGTGAGGGGCATTTTAGATTTCGGCTTACAAGTTCCCAAGCTGAGAAACTCAGGTGAGGAGATGTGAAGTTCATGGGTCTCAAGGCTGCCCTCCCTGAGAGGACTAGTTGCAGGTTTGATTATCCTCCAAATCACCCTCAGGTTCAATAAATTTGCTATGAAGACTCAGAACTCTCCTTGAAAGCTGATGTCCTCCTGGTTTTGAGTTTTGGTAGTGGCAGCAGAAGTGAAATGCAGTGCCTGTCACAGAAGCATGGCTGCACCCTCATCAGAGGTGACAATGTCCAGTGCAGGGGGCTGTGTGGCAGCTGGACTGTGCACACTCTTCTGCCTTTGTGTCCTGGTAGGCAGGTAAAAATAAGTTTGTGCTGGTGACGTGATGTGTTGGTGCAACTGCTCTGGAAAGCATAGGATGTACRTCAGTGTCCTTTAAGAAGTTTATCCCATCCTTAGGAATATATCCTAAGGACATAACTTAAAATAATAATTAAAACCCTAGAACTACTCACTGTGAAATAGTATACAGATAGTCCCCAACTTAATATTCAACACAAGGTGGATTGGAGGGGGGGGGTGGCGGCACGGTGCTGTAGCAGAAGGATCACAAGTTCAAGGTCAGCCTCAGCAACTTAGTGAAACCCTGTCTCAAAAAACAAAAAGGGCTGGAGATGTGGCTCAGCGGTTGAGTGCCCCTGGGTTCAATCCCCAATAATTTTTTTTTTAATTTAGGACTTTTCAACTTTATAACGGCATGGAAGTGATATGCATTCAGCAGAGATTCTGTGTTGAGTTTCCCAGGCCTGTGATACATTCTGTGAGCCTCTACGGTGGTGCTGGGCTGCAGCAAGCAGAGGCTCCTTTGCAGCCGTGCTATCCCAGTGTACAGAGGTATGGAGCTACAATGTTAGGTTGGGTATAGACACATTTTCAGCTTATGATATGTTCAGCTCACAGGGGGTTATGAAGACCTCATCATAAAGAGCTTTATGGTGTGGCCAAGTGATACATTTTATAAATTAAAATATGTCCCTGTCTGGATAGAAATATTGTTGCTATCATAAAGTAAACTGTTAGAGTGATGTCATGGAAGACAGCTAAGTAGGAAACTCGGGAATCTATCCTTCCACCTCTACAACTACCAAGCTGACAGGGACTGTCAGAAGTAACCTGAAAGTTAGTCAGTCAAGCTAGTCAGTCTGGTCAGATGCTGGTAGCATCCAGGAAGAGCTTGAAGAGGCAGGTGGTAAGTTTCAACAGATTTCAACATTCCTGTAGTGCTTGCCAGGCACCATTCCCTAGCCCCATGGCATGAACTGTGAATGGTGTGCACTAAGGATGTTCCAAAGACTGGGGCTGTGTGTTTTGATGGTTGATTGGCTGCTCTTGATTACTAAAGAACTGGCTCAGAGGCTAGCTACTATAATTTTGATCATCATGGGTCAAAGCAGTTTTCAGAGGA